CATCTTTTAGCTCGAATTTTTATATAGAAATAAATTTTTTTTAATATCATAATCAAAATTTTATCATGATAAATTAAATATTTTAAAATTGATTTTAAGATAAATATAATATTTGTTTAAAGAGCTTTGTCTCCTTTACCATTATAAAAAAAAATCAAATATAAAATAGAATTGGAAAATAGTTGATTAATTATACTTTAGTCAATTATATTTCAAAAGTAATATTTAATTATATTTATAATAAAATAACCATTCAGCGCTTTTAAAATATGAAAAACAAAAGTTATAAATTACAAAAATTTTATCTTTTTAAAATAACAAACTCAAATAATTTTTTTTAAACTATCAATGTCCATCTTAAACTTGAGTGAAAAAATTTGAGGAATATTTTAAAGAACCTAATTTATGCCCCCATTATAAAATTTTTTTAGCTCCACTACTAAATGCAATAGAATATCCCTCAGACCTCCTGTTTATAGACATGAGTTTAGATAAAGGCTAACAAAAAAGCTATATTTAAGAATAAATATAAAATTATAATATAATGTTCAATAAATAATTCTTATAAAATGAATATACGTCTAACTAATTTGTAGCTATTAAAATACACAGAAAAATGCAACTCGTCTTGGTCTGTTAGTTAAGAGGTTTAGCTATCAATCAAGAGATCTTGAGTTTTTGCATATGTGATGTCTACGTGAATTTGTCTTAATGGATCTAAATGTCCAAAAAAAAAAAAATCAGAGATCTTATAAAGGATTCCAAGTAAAGATGTGATTTTGTTCTCTCTAAAAATCTTTTAACAAATGGATAGCTTATAAGTAAATTCATTTGACGAGTTGTATGCATAGTCTTGATGATTTCAAGTTATCTAACTGTTGAATGAGAGTTTATAAAGATACCAAGAAATATGTCAAGTAGCTTTGAGGACTTCAATTTAATTGCAATTTTTTTTCTAAGTTTGATAGTCTGTGCGTCAACTTTCATTTGAGCTTGTTTCATTTTGAGATTTAATTGGGCCTAGACAATATTGAATGTACAAATATTATTTTTTAATGTAATTGATATAAAATATGATGCTAAAGTTATATTAATTTGATCAAAATAAGTGGTCTTGGCCGGCTCATCATCCTAAAGCCAAATAAAAATGTTAACAGTAGAAAAATTCAAAAAAATATATGGTGTGGGAGTGCAGTCTCTCTTGGCCTGCCTTCCTCCCTACCTTTCTGATCCTCATCAAAATCATATCTTGGCGCTTCCGCTCCTACAAATTCTTTCTCGGCCTTACGATTGCTTGCGCCGAACCCCCTCTTATCCTCCACGCTGGATTCTAATGAAGCCCGCTTCCTTTCCCATATCACCCCTTCTTATATTTCACCCCCAAACTCTTCTTTCCCCGCTGCTTAGAAAGGCAAGCAAGAGAAGCCAAGAGGTACTTCTCTTTCTCGTCTCTTCTTCTACTGCTTTTAATATTTTGATTACTTCATAAAGTTGTAAACTTGCAGCTTTGCGCTCTATAGAGCTCACTTGCCCTCTGAGGAAGAAGATGGATTATGTTTATGGGCCGGGGAGGAATCATTTGTTCGTGCCGGGGCCGGTGAACATCCCGGAGCCGGTCATCCGAGCAATGAACCGTAACAATGAAGACTACCGCTCTCCGGCTGTGCCAGCCTTGACGAAGACTCTACTTGAGGATGTTAAGAAGATATTCAAGACGACGAGCGGAACCCCTTTTCTGATTCCCACCACAGGTTTCTCTCTGTTTTTATCTAGTTTTTTTTTTTAATTTTAATGTTGTGTTGTTGCTGCATAGTTATGATTTCTGATGCACAGTTCCTTACTGGCTATTATTTAATAATGGTGATTAGTTGTATTTTAGCTAAGTTGGTAGAATTTCGTAGGAGTTAGGACAGTTAAAAAACCCTATGGTTTAACTTTCAAAATTATGACCGTTTAATTATTTTATTGCTTGATAATCCTCCTCACATAGAAGTGGATATAAGCTTCACCTTCCTGGACATGTTGACAGAAGCCTCACTGCATGCTTGTAGGGTGGCCAACTTCATAAATTTTGGGAAAAGCTCCATAATTGATAGGAAGAGTATAAGGATCATAGTTTCAAGAAAAAAGTTCCTCTAAAATCTGAACTGCGAATGAGTTAGGAGAAAAACACAGCTGTTCTAAAGAGGATTGAACAAAGTGATAACCTTGGCTTACAAATTATGGTATCCTAATTTGAGAGAGATAAAAAAGAACTCAGGTGGAAAGTTTTTACTTGATCAATTTCAAGTTGTGTTCTTAAATTCTATCCAATAATAAAACTACTAAATTGATGAGCTTAAAACCTCTGTTATTTATATATGCATGTAGAGTTGATAATGAGTTGAAGACAGGTTAGCCAACTCAAACTTGAAATGGAAATGTCAATTTTGCCTTGAATCAAGTAGAAAATGATAGATTTCGAGTCAACTTTCAAGCTAATTCAATCCAAGCTTATATTGATTGAGTATTTTCTAATCAACTCAAGTTGAGCTTATTTTCTCAATACATGCTAAAATAAAATTTATGTGTATATAAATTCAAGACATCATTTGACATTTATACATCACAGATTCAATGTTATTATAGAAATGATATTTGGATGCGAGAGTAATCTTAGTTGCATGATATTATCAATATAAATGAATCCTTTAAGTGTTAACAACATTTAAAAAAATTAAATAGGGATAAAAACATTCCGAACATACTTATGAATATGTTTAAGTTTAGTTTATCTAATACTCCTCCAAGTCATTTTGAAAAAAAAAAAAATTTTTGCCATCTTTTCAAAAAATAGTCTATCATTTTGAGAGAAAAAAGAGTTATCTTTCCCATCTTTCCAAAAAATAATATCATTGATTTCAAGATTAAACAAAATAATTATAAACATATTCACCTTCACCACATTAATAGGCAGGAAATTAAGTATAAGCATTCTCTATCACTCATTGCCCAAGAAGAAATCACTTACCCTATAATTTTTAATTCTAGAAATATCGTTTATGTATCTTCTTTGATTAATTCAAGATTGACAGCCTTTAATTCTGCAGTTAATGTCAAACTTGTATTCAGCAATTTGTCTTAATATATTTAAATTGTTGAGCTTGGCTATACTTTTATTGAGAGAGATCTATTCATTAATATCATCAAAAACAAGGAAGATGTCCTCATGGCTATTAACCTCCTTAATCATCTTAATAATTTCAAAGATATGTTTGTTCTAATTATTAGAGTTTCACTCAAGATCTCATTGATGGAATTAATGTCTTTTTGGTATTGGTACCACCTTCAGGGCTATCTTTATCCCTCAATATAGGCTCTAAGTTATCATTCAAAAGGCCAACAATGACTTAATTTTTCTTCAATTCATTTTAGAGAGTTGTTTCATATTCTTGAGTCAGCGTGGGCTTATAAATTATTTGTTTTAGATTAGTTTGTAATTTAAAACTAGCATTAGTATGATCAAATATATGGCAATAGGAGCAATATTGAGGCATATTTTCAAATTCGACCTTTTTTCTAATAGTCGTTCTTTTTAGACCACATTGAAAGGATGTTGTTATGTTTTTTAGATATGTTCATATCTATGAGGATAAATGCACGTGAAAGACAAAATGTTGAAGCTCTAGTAATTTCCACTTGAAGTAGTTTGTTGACCTTTATGGTGATATAAGCTCTATGGCTCATAATTTGAAATCAAAGCCTAGGAAGGGAGATATAAGTCAAAGGGGTGGTTCATGTGTAACATCAAGAAAATGAGATCAATTTAGAACTTTCATCAAGGAACATCGACTTTAATGTACTATACGGTAAAATATCCATGCTAGTAATTGTTATTATTAGCTAACCAAGTAATGATATAGGAGAAATCAAAATGATCCACCCTAATAAATCTCAAGATCTTGAGTAAAGAATCTTCTTAAAATGCTAATGGGAAAATGAACACTAGATAATTTCCCAATGACGGTGAAGATAAAGGGTTTAGAGCCTAAAAACCCTCTTCATAATAAAAGTCAACATCCATTTATCCTTAAAAAGGTTTGGATCCGCACATGGTTGATAGTGATGATATAGGATGTTTTTGGGCTAATGTCTCTAAAAAAAGATTCAATGTATGGAGTAGTTACATTCTTACCACATGATGAAGAACATGAAGAGGGGGAGAGAGAAATTTAATCACCTAAATTTATGGTGAGAGCACAACCAGCCACCAAGATTACATCTAAGGCCGCAACAATGATGTATAAATACCTCTCTACAAACTCATATCAAATGAGCAACACACACGAAAGTAATCAGCAGAGGCGATTATAGAAAAACTTTAGCAGAGCAACTCATACGAATTGGAGTCATCTATATAGTTCTAGAGACATTTACATGCCACTCGTCATTAATCCAATAGTCTTAGATATGCTTGAGCTCTAGGTTTGGCAATTAAAAATTTTCCTTGATAAATTTTTAAAATTCCTAATTTAATACTTGAAATTTGCAGTAGCTTCCAAATGAATTAATATATTTAGGGTTTTAGAATATCTTTGCCCATGATTAATTAGAATAAGGTAGATGGGGAATGTATAACTATAGACAGGATGCGAGTGGTTGAGGTTCAAACTCTTACTAGCCTCTTATATTATGTTAGACATTAAATATGATTCCTTCAATTATTATTGCTACGCATGATCTGCAACTTTTTTACAATGTTTTCACTAAATCATCTAAAAATTGTCTTAAATTTTTAAATGCATCTCATTTTAATTTAGAGAAATTCTATTTTTTGTTTTACTTTTATATGGGATAGTTTTTAATTGACTTGACTGTATGGTGCACTTGAAACTCTTCTATATTCTACTTCCAAAAGTAAAATATAACAAATCGTGATTTCAAATAAATCAAGCGGTTAACAAAATTTCGTGTATGCATTAATGCATATCTTTTTCAAACGAATAGTTGAAAATGAAAAAAAAAAAATTAAGTCTAATTTTTATTATTATCCATAGAATGTGTTAATTGTTGTAGAGATGAGTATGCTCAGGTGGATGAGTGGCTTTACCCTTAGAGATATAATATGAAATGAGCTTATACGTGAAAATGTTGGAGTAGCTCCAATGAAAGGTAAGATTAGAGAGAGTCACCTTAGATGGTTTGGTCACCTAAAACGGTGGCCTTTCGATGGCCCATTTAAGAAAGTAGAGGTATTAGATTTGACTTATGTTAAGAAAGGTAGAGGTAGACCTAAAAAGACTTGGTTAGAAAATATTAGAAATGATCTTTCTTTATTATATTTAAACGAGAATTTGACTTTTAACAGGACACAATGGAGAAAAAGGATTCATGTAGCCGAGCCCACATAGTGGGACAAAGGCTTGTTGTTGTTGTTGTTGTTGTTGTTGTATCCATAGAATGTCTTTTAAAATGTGAATATGTGAATGGGGATTTAATGGAATTTCTATGTTGTAGTAACTTGACTAGCAATATCTAGACAAAATTTTCCATATAATGTATATAATATCCAAAATTTACAACGGTTCATTCAAGTGCAATTTTAGAGGATCCCTAAAGTGGAAGACATTCCTTAATGCAGATTATATCTTCTTAATATTCCATCATGCCCAACTTTTATAATTTGATGTTTTTGCGTGTTAACCACTTTAAAGCTGGATAAATGAACATTTTAAATATTTAAGTTGGATTTACTCATTGAATTATTATATATTTATATATATTTCACCTAAATCTTTATACTGACTTATATAGCCCTCTAATCTCTAAATGACATTAAAAACATTACTAACATTAGCTTACCCAAAATGAAATATAACTTTCAATGTATATATTTTGATGTCATTCAGTTGTTTGAGTGTTATATGAGTAAATGTAAAGATTTAGATGTTAAATATGCAAATAAATAGGAATTAGTGTTATGAATATAAACCCCTCAAGATTTATACTCAATATGTATTTTTATGTCTAATCATTGGCAAAACTGGAAAACCACTTAACCCACAAAATTTGAGGTAATATTCTGTGGTTCAAAAATGATTTTATGCGTAAGGATAATCTTCACATTTACAAGCTGGCCGCAACAGCTTCTAAGTGTAATTCAAGAACGTTAAACTTACTCTTCGTTTGGGACGGCTTTTTTATTGCTTCTTAAAACATAGTTTTAATAAAAAAATTAAATTTTTGTACTAAAACTTCATTTTAAGAAGCAATAAAAAGCCATCTAAAACAAAGCCTTAGAATCTTTCTTTCTCTTTATAGATATCTTTGAAGTTCCTGATATAATCATATTAACATTAAAAGTGTTACTCGTTATAGTAAAAGGAAATCAGTAATTTCTGATTAATATTAGAGTATCAATATACTGATTGATTGCTCAAGTGTACTAAACTCTTTGAGCTATAAAAGTGTTACTATGTCAGGGTTATCCTTTTTGGAAAAATTCAGTTATTGCTTCCAAGTTTTCTACATTATCAGGCTATCGGTCTTTTATATTTTGATGTCCGAAGGATATTTTCTGTTGTTCTTGTACATGATTTATATTTCACATGACTGCTTGCATTCAGGGACTGGAGCATGGGAAAGTGCGTTAACAAACACACTTTCACCTGGTGATAGGATAGTGACTTTTCTTATTGGGCAGTTTAGTCTACTCTGGATTGATCAACAACAACGCCTCAAATTCGATGTTGATGTTGTAGAAAGTGAATGGGGGCAAGGTGCAAATCTTGATATACTTGCATCAAAGCTTTCAAGCGACCGTTCTCATACAATAAAGGCTATTTGCATTGTTCACAATGAGACTGCAACTGGAGTAACTAACAACTTGGCAACTGTGAGAAAATTGCTTGGTATGTTTATATGCTCGTTTGAATATCTAATGTGGTAGCTTCTCTCTATGATTTCCTATGTTGGCAATATGAAATTTCGGCTTCATTCGCATAATCTTCATTATTACAAGCAATCGTAAATTTCATACCATTTATATTACCTTAGTAGTCCAGTAATTACATATCCATATTGCAGATCAGTTTAACCATCCTGCCCTGTTACTTGTTGATGGAGTCTCATCTATATGTGCTATCGACTTCCGCATGGATGAATGGGGAATCGATGTTGCACTAACGGGTTCGCAGAAGGCTCTATCTTTACCTACTGGGATGGGAATTGTATGTGCCAGTCCAAAAGCTCTGGAAGCATCAAAGACTGCTAAATCTGTCAGGGTTTTCTTTGATTGGAATGATTACCTCAAATTTTACAAGATAGGAACTTATTGGCCCTACACTCCTTCCATCCAATTGCTTTATGGGCTTAGAGCAGCCTTAGATCTTATATTTGAGGAGGGGCTTGATAATGTGATTGCAAGGCACAACCGCCTAGGGAGAGCAACAAGGTTAGCAATCATGATTATGTGAACTTGAATTTTACTTCTATATATATATATATATATATATATATTGTTGATGATGTTTTGAATAAGTATATGATTAGTCTCTATGTAATGATTATAGTGTAGCTATTGAGTCATTATTATATTTTCTGCCATACTGTTCTCTGATCTTGCAGACTAGCTGTTGAGGCCTGGGGACTGAAGAACTGCACCCAGAAGGAAGAGTGGTTTAGTGACACCGTCACCGCCGTTGTTGTTCCGGCTTACATCGACAGTGCTGAAATTGTGCGGAGGGCATGGAAAAGATATAACTTAAGCTTAGGCTTGGGCTTGAATAAAGTGGCTGGAAAGGTCTTCAGGATAGGACATCTTGGCAACCTTAATGAGGTCTGTGATATTTCAGGAAAATTATTACGTGCGGCTTCCAAATTCGTCCAGAGGCGAATCCAGACGTGCCACGTCACCCGGGGCCCAGTGCATCTGGGTGATGTGGTACGTTTGGATTCATCTCCAGATGGTCCGGACACCGCATGTAATAATCTCTCGATATTTCATGTGTTCATAAAAAGCAAAGGTTAAAAATTTCATTTACTGCAGATTAATGATCAAGCAGAAATAACTTAAATTGTTTAATGCTTACAAATGAAAATGTTTATACTGAATACTGTATGATCGACCTTCATTGCTGCAGCTGCAATTGCTTGGTTGCCTGAGTGGTGTGGAGATGATACTGAAGGATGTTGGATATCCAGTAAAGCTGGGAAGTGGAGTTGCTGCTGCTGCTGCTTATTTTCAGAACACCATTCCTCTGATACCTTCTAGGATATAAATTTTTCTGTTTAATTTGGTTTGTCCTCCCTTTTTTCGTCCAATTCTGTATATAAGACTTCATTATACAGTAATGCTACTAGAGGTTCAGTCCTCTTGTATGTCATCATTTAGTAGACATATCTCTTTAAAAACTTCATTGGATTTGAAGTTGTACTTAAAAATTTTCTGCAGATCCATGTTATGGCTTCAGGCTTTGGATAGTTAATAGGCTCTCTTGAAATAGAAATATATGTGCTTTTTCTTAAATCTGCAAATTTAACGTTGAACAATAAGGTTTATATGATATTAAGTATCATTCTTTTGAAATCGAATTAAATTGGCTCATTTTACCTGCATATGATTTGTCATTTTTAGTATGAGAATTTATTGTTGGTGAGTTTTTTTTGTTAAATAAATATTAATATTCAAAGAAACGTTTAAGAAAATTTAGTTTCATTTCATATTAGTAAGCTTATTTAATGTTACTCATTCTATCTCCTGTTGAAGGGGCTGGTAGTAGAAGAGGAGCGCAATTTGGAAAAGTTAAAATCTATCAAGTTGAATGCAATCTCAAAATGAATATTCAAGCTTCATTTGGAACAGCTTTTGACTATTATTTTTTCACTTCTTTCAAGAATTATTTTTGTTAGAAAGTTGTTTGAAAAAATAGTGAGAAAATTGGTCCAATTGAAGCTTTAGGCTTCGCTTGGGACGGCTTTCTTACTGCTTTGTAAAACTACTTCTTAGCACAAAAATTTCTTAAAAGCAGAGAAAAGCACTGGTCTCCTAATTGAAACCTTAGTTTCTGCTTATCTCTAAAGGAAAACATGCATTTATGGGGTATTCAACACATATATTGAATGAAAAAAAAAAAAAAAGTTGAGAATGATCTTCTAGTTTTTGGGGAGGCTAAGTGTTCAAATGTTATGGCTCTTGTTAATTGGCTTGATACTTTGGAGGCTGCTTCTGGTTTAATAGTAAACCATATTAAAAGTTGTATTATTTTCTTTGATGGCATAACTACTTCTACTGGGATTGATAACATTTTTCATTTGCCCTTGAGGAAGAGAATTTTCAAATACTTGAGAATTCCTATTTTCTCTAAAGAAGCTTCAGTGGGCTGATTTTCAACACCTTCTCCATAAGGTCTCCCAATTGATGTATGGATAGAAAGCTAAGCTATTTTCATTCGGCGGTAGATTGCAATATATTAGCTTTAGTATTTGGAATTTTATTGCTTATTGGATCAGAGAATCTATTATACCTAAATCTTATTGCAAGTTCATTGATAAGTTGTGTGTGAGGTTTCTTTTCCAACAAAAAAAAAAACTTGCTTGGCAAAGGATTGTGGTGGACTTTGTTTGCGTTCTTTACTAGCTCTCTCTCATGCTTTGTTATGTGTCCTCATATTTTGAATTGTCATTGGACTGATAGCCTTCTTAGTAGATGGTTTAGATATTATTATACTTCCTTCTGGAAGCCTCCTGCGGAGAAGATATATGTTTTCTTGAAGCACTTGATCTTGGTGGTTGCAAGATAAAAATGAATTTCTCCTTCATCATTTTTGTTGGCTATACCTTGTTCCTCCTGTAGGATACCTGGTGCCAGGGAAGAGCTCCATCTAATATTGTTTCACCTGCTTCTCTTCTTCCTCCATCTACCTCTAATGTTTTTGAGATTATCTCTGGAAACTACTGTTGCTTTATTTAAGGCGTAATTATTAGTCATATAGAATTCGGTAACCCAACTTTTTGTAATCATTCTTATTTATTTGACCTTATGTGCAGCATTCTTGTGCCACTCAAACCTCTAAATAGATGGTCACAGGTAGACTTCATGACACACTACTCTCTGCACTCATTCATTTAAGCTTCATTTGAAATGACTTTCATTCTGATTTCTAAAATTATTATTATTATTGTAGAAAGTTGTTTTAAGAAGCAATAAGAAAGGCGTCCTAAATGAAGCTTTACTCTTTTCCATATTCATCATTTCATATGAAGGTAAGGTTGAATATTGTGGGCGTTAAAAATTCGGTCCCAACCTCCCCTGTTATTTTTTTTTTCCGGGGAGTTTTCACGAAATTAAGTTCCGGGGTAAATTTTGGGAAGACATGTGAGTATGTAGATAAGACACTACATAGAGATTTCACCCTCATTTTGCTAGGACTTTATGATCTGAGTTTAGGTTTCCTATAGGTGCATGCCCCTATAGTTAATTACCCCTCCCGATCACGAGAGAGAACTTTCGATTAAGGCTAGTCGTCGATGAATACATCATACCCGTAGATACGCGATATCTAGCATATATTAGCAGCATGGGCTTGGGATTTAGGAATTTGGTATTTAAAATAAGAAATTTATCACCTTGCACTTAAAGCTGATGGTGGGGGAATGAATAATGGACCCGATCAAGATCTCATGGTTTCGTCATCTTGGGCCATTGTGGTCTTATTATACTTAGTCAGAGGAGGTAGTAGACCCAACCTGATAGAAGGATCATTATCGGCAGTCATGGGTTGCTTTGTCCAAGGGTACCTTATAGACTTGAGGGGAGTGTTTATCTAAAGGGATAAATTTGAATCCATCTTAACTAACAAAGGGATTTGTGCCCTATCGATTATATCCTATTGATTCATGTCTCAAAGATTTGATGTCATTAAGGAACGTATTGGCTCTAACTATAACTATAATTTAGTGGTGCCATTTGGCGGCAAAATCACTCAGTTCAGATGACATGTACCATGTCCTTATTAGCATGAGACTATTTTATAAATGAATCCTAGTGATATTCTTGACCGAAAATTAACTCTTTATAAGCTGAAGTAGTTTTCAATTTTTCTACCTTGGCAAATTATTACGGATGGTGGATGAGTTTTGTTTTAAGTGATGTGATGGATTGTTTCAACTTTAAGTATTCTAAACTTGGATGATTTTGGGATTCTGGACTTTGTGGTATTTAGATGACATTTAGAATTATTTGGAATGGATCCCTCCGGTTGAGATCTGCATTCAACAATGCCATCATAAGGGTATTTGGGGTCTTTTTTATTTGTGCCTTGAACCTTGTCGACTCTATCAAGCTGTCAATAGAGGATTGGGCTTGTTGATAGCTTTACAATTTTGTTAATGAATTTTCTTTGTTGGAGGCCTTGAAGGCCTTATATGAATGTATAAAATAAATATTTAGGTCAACACCCTGACCATATATATGTTTAATAATTTGAGCCGTGTCAACTCCTATCTATCAATATAGAAGGATCATGCTCAAATCATATTCAATTATGGACCCGCGTAGCATCCCTAGATGTCACATGTGTACCATTAACACGCTCGCCGATGGCCCATGCAGGTGTTTGGGGGTATTTTATAATTATTTGTTAAACCTTGTCGACTCCTATTTTTCTGCTTAGAAGGATCAGGTTCAAATTTATTGACCCACGCATCATTCCTAGACGTCACATATATTTCTATAACATGCTTGTCGGGCCCCATGCAGGTTGTATGATTATGCATACCCTTTTGTGTACCTATGTGCATACATATTATAGTACATGTGCGAGGACATTTTAGACATTTTGATATTGATCAGTTGTGTGGGTAGTTGTTAGTTGATTATAGTGTTCAATTTGGAAACTTGTACACGTCTTATATTACTTGCATATGTGTTGAAGATCTGGTGATGTGACGTCGTACTATGGTTATTCGCATATTTCATACATGTAGACTGTGGAATACTACATGTTGCTTCCTGCAGGTAGATTGTAGTGCATTAATGAATCCCCTGCTTTTGCTTATGGACACTTGTATTTATTATAGTTCTTCTGTATTTTCTCACATGCAATCTGTTGTATGTGCAACAAATTTTATATAGCAGCTCGTATGTATTTGCATTTGATTTAGTCATTTTACACTTTGCTTGTGGATAATAAGCCATCACTCTATCTTTGAAAATGATGATTTGACTTGGCTTTCTCTACCCATAACTCAAATAGGAATCAACAAGCAACTCTTGAGATGATTGGAATAACATGTATGTTTTATATTTGTAATTATGAGATTAGGTTACCAAGCTTTCATTAATCTTTAACATAACATTTTTCAAACATTAATTATTAATTCAAGTAGGTAAAATATAGTGTTGATGCTCACTTGAATGCATTCCAATATATTACATTGTTGCCTCGACGTTCAAAACATAATGTAGAATTTCATTTTTGCAAACGGACGACGTTTGAGGAACATCGAGTATGTTCGTAGTCCGTCGATTTCGATCGCTTTCATTCAATAATTGATCATCACATATGTTGCTTGCATTGATCGTGCTACATATGTAGATGTCAACAGTCATCTTTGAAGACTTGTAAGTATTTACCTTTGCTATGATCTTCTATCTTTTGCCTTAAGCATTTTATCCCCCAATGTTTGCAGGATATTTATTGTAGTTATCCTATGCCTACAGTCATCATTTGTAGAAAGCTTAGTGCATTCACTTGTATGCTAATGCTGACATTCATTTGGATACATCTAGATATATCACATTATTTCTTCCACCTCATCTCAAATCTTTCTTATTGCAACTGACATGTTAATTGTAGTGTGGGTCTCTTGTAGCATCACTAAATATTTTTGTTTACAAGAAATTGGTGTGTTTGATTAGTGGACTACATCCTTCTACTTGCGTATCTTCTAGTGTTCATGAGGATTGTTGTGTATACTTGCAAGACGATTGACATCGGTCATAAGGAGATTTTTAGTCTTATAACCTGTCCACGCTCATTATTCATGAAAGAGTTAATACATTTTTTTGTCGGTTGATGATTGTTGTTTATGGGTATACTGTCGTCACACAAAGGACTTTCGTCATTACTTGCAAATAATATTTCACCCGAGTGCACATGTGGACTGGAGACCTGTCGTATTTATGATCTACCCCTTTTTCATCATATTTGCAGTGATTTGTCATTGACTATTAGTCAAGTTGCATTTCATTACCAATTTCTTCAAGCACGTGTGGTTTGTGCATCTCTTGTTGTCGTCCAAAAATAACACTCCATGCATCGGCTCTAACAATGATGATTCATAAGTAGATCCTCACATGTCTTGTAATTCCCATCGAATCTTCTTGCTCTTTTCTTATAAGCACATCAATGTGTTTGTTCCAGTCATCATACATATCCCATAAATATGAATGAGATAAAGGCCGCTAGTCGATTAACACTATTGACATAAGAATTTGCAATGTCCAACTGGGGATTTAGTTCATGGATGAGTAGAGAGTCTCATAGAATTTCTTGTAACCAACATATTCTGTTTGCACCATTTATTCGCTTCCTGTTGATTGTTATTCATCGGCAAGGAGTTTCATATCATTACTTATAATGATGCTTGTTGAAGGGAGCCTAAATAGTTATTTGCACTTGAATTGTATATTTCTCTTCAACCTTTATTAGGATAGCCTTGTGTATCTACTTGTAGTTTAGATTACACATTCTTATTAGTTAATGATAATCATTATGTCATTTGTATACATGTACATGTCTCCTTTATTTGCTATCTATTAAAGGCATCATAGCAAGAAGTCTGGTCATGTTGTCTACAAGTCATCACTACTTGTTAGCGAGTAGTATTTGCAAGTCTTCTTTTTCATCACAAGTTCCACATATGTTCCTTTGCATTTAATTTTGGATCTTTGTTATTTTTAGAAATCATGATTTTATTTTAAGTGAAATTTAGACTTGTCGTCATCTTGGTTCAAGTTCAAGTCAAAGTTCTTGTTCAAAGTATTTTGAAGTCTTTGAAAATTCAAGCATCTTGTAGTTTAATTGAGTTCAAGTTCTTTATCGTTCAAGTCAAATTTGAATTCGGTTTAAGCTTAATATGTAAGTTCATTTGTAAGTATACTGCATATGCACTATGTCACATCCAAGTCTAAGACTAAGCTTGAGTCGAAGTCTCGTTTCCTTTCAACTTCATTTGATTAAGTTTGATTTTGTGCTTAAGTTATGTTCAAATTAAGTTCCAAAATTTTTATGTAAGTCCCCTGCTGTTCAAAAGTTTACAAGTTCTGTCCCTTGTATTTGCTTTGAATTTCGGTAGCCTCCCAATGTCTCCCTCGTTTAGGGGAAAAATCAAGGGGCAATCTTCCGCTCCACGCTACACGAGCACTTCAGGTAGATGTCAGGTGACACTGCGACTGCATTTTCTTAAATCCCCGCGACGCTACATGAGCGCTTAAGGGTCTTTGGTACCAATTGAAAAGAGCACAATTGATCCCCACGTATGAGTACTTATTTTTCATCCCCCTCAATCATTTTAACTTATAATTTATAATAAACTAATTATAATTAATCATATTTAATTAATTATATTTAGTTTAAAATTAATTATAAATCAAAATTTGAGCAAAATTTAAGCCTAATATTTTTAAAGAGAGTGAAACTCTCTGTTTTCGATAGTTTGGGCAGTTGGTCCAAGGGATTTGGCCGAAGAAGCTCGCGATATGGAGAAAGTCACCTTCACAGCTAGCGGGCTCCCTTCGTTTCTTCCGATCAAAATGTTGTAACTTCCTGTTCAACGTCAGGTCCAACGTCAAGGGACCGTCGTTGAAGGAGGTGAAGATTAGGGTGCCCCTCTCTCTCTCTCTCTCTCTCTCTCTCTCGCGGCTTGCATGAGAGGTCGGCACAGGCAAGGGCTTCAACGGGATAAGGGATTTGGCCGTGGTTCGAAGCAAGAGGAAGGAAGTTTGGTTGGGGCCCTAGATTGAAGAGAAATCGGGTGACTTCGACACAAGAGCAGGCGACAACTAGGTCAGTGGGTTCAGATGGAAGAGGCGGAGCGTAGATGACGGGCTTGAGGATTTTGGGATTTCGGTTTGGGATTTCGATTGCAAGGTAAGGAGAAGGCGTCAGAGGCTTCGGCTTCTGAAGTTCGGCAGTGGGATGGAGATTTGGGGGAGGTCTGAGCTAACAGTGGGGTTTGGCTGATGTCGAAGTGCTTGCGGGATTTCTACGTGTGGGAAGCGAAGAAGAATAAAGGGCTTCATTTGGCTCAGCATTTAACGACGCCAATGTGGGATTGAGGCATGCGCGAATGATATCTTCTGAGACAGCGCCGAATCGCAGAGGGATTCTGAGCAGGAATTTGAGATGAGTGGCAGAGGTATGGTTTAAAATTTTTTTATCTCTGATTTCTTTTAGTTTTGTCTTCTTGAGGTCAACAAGTATAATTTATGAATATAGTTTGATTCAATAGAAATACATTGGAGTAAGTGATTGGTGTAAACGAACAGTCTCATACTTACAGTTTATTACATGTTTTACCATTGTATTTCTTTATATAAAGAACTCTGTACACGCTACCTTAAGTTAATCAAATACTTTATCTTTTCTACCTCTGCTCTGTCTTCTTTCCCTGCACATCTTCTCCCGTTTCCATTTCTGTCAATTGGGAATGTTTATTTGTAGATATCTACTTGTCAATTTTGCAAGTTAAAAGATTAGAGAACTTGAACAGTTAGAATGCCTAAATGTTGTGAGAAAGTTAAATTCATTGTTCATTAGAGAACATTTAAAATTCAAGGATAACGATGTTATTAGAGAGAGAACAAAATTAATTAACTCTAATTATAGCTTTTTCATGGTATTACTTTATATCTAGCTAATAATTAAATCACTATACAATTCAATATTTTAATTGAATAAATGAAACTATAAATTCAAGTGTGAAATTTCAAATTTATGACTAAATAACATAGAAATTAATAATTTTGATTTATTAATTTTAGATTTAAACTAATAGCCAAATTTATTGGAGCTCAAATTATAGATTCTTAGGCCCAATCTTTCACCTTAATACTATAAGCAATGTAGAATCAATAAGTAGAATTAATTTATAATTTTATACTAAACCTATTTTTTAAATAAAAAATAATCTAATTAATATTCTTAGAGAATTAATCTTCTCCTTTAGTCTTTAACCACATGTCCTTCCACTCTTATTTTATGCCCCAAATGAATGTTATAAAATCCAATAGCCAGAAGGATGAGCAAGCACAATCAAATTAAGGGTATCAAAGTGGGTTTTTCGAATCGGATTCGGGTCCAATATGGAATTGACCCGGTTTCAACTCATATGACATGTACCCGACCCAATTAGGTAAACGAGTCATAAGCCTGGAGCCGAACTTGAATCAGCCCCAACGATCTGACACGGCCCGACTAGCTGACTTAATTGAGTGCAATGGGTGAGCAAGTGGGAGTAGTCGAGTTGGCGAGTGGGTGAGGGCGAGCGAAGAACATGAGCAACGAGTAGACAAGCATAAGTGCGGCGAACGAGCGCAACGGACGAGCCCGAAGGATGAGTTTTGTGTTGCTTTCTAATTTTTGGGTTGACCAGAGCTTGACCTGAAATTATAATCATGTCAAGATATAAAATATGAATCCAATTCATTTTTCAAATGGGATGTTCCAAACCTGAAATTTTTTGGATCAGATTTATGTCAGATTTTCAATTCGTGTCAAATATTTATATCTCTAGATCGGATCAATAAAGGAGCCGTTATAGCCCTGAGTTCTCTAGGCAATGCAGGTCTGATTGTACGAGTTATTGCTCAATTGACTAAATCATAACTAATTGATTCATTGGCCTCGCATGGCCTAACGAGTACAAGAAGCTAGCTCGATGATGCTTAAAAATATATATTCAGTGGCCGTTAGAATCCTCTCTTAAAAATACGTCAAATTTACCTGTACAGCCCCTGGTTAGCTAATTCTAGACTGACTATTTTCATGCCTCGCCTGTAAATCCAACATAAAAAGCCTTCACAACTCTTCAGAACTGACAGCAAATATCACCATTTCCGGAAACCAAAAGTTAGAAAATCTGCTATCCCTCCATGGATCTAATTTTAACCAACAAACCAACCCTTTCGTCATTCTCAGAGCTACTGTGTGCCTCGTCAATCATTTCTTCTTCCTCTTCTCGGGAGGACGGTTTAATAAAATAGAAGCATTGATGGCGGCAACTCGAAGCCTCGCTTTGGTGGTTTTCTTTGTCGTCCTGCTCATGGCGCCGGCAGAGGCTACCTGCAAAGGTGGTTGCCCGTATAAGGGTTTTTTCTCTTCGATAATCTGCTTCTACACCTGCTCCTCCCTCTTCGGTGGCCTCGGCTCTACTGTCCATCCAATTGATCGTATGCCTCTCATTCTGTTAATTCTAAATTTTTACTTTCTTGAAATGAAATGATATTGCTTCGAAGGAAGGATTGTCTAGAAGATTTTGATGTTATTCTAACATAAAAATATGCATTGTCACCCAAATCTTAGATCTAGTGATGTTATTCTAGGATTTTGATGTTACTTGAACCAGCCAATTGTATCGCTCCTTAGATCATCTAAAAGATTTGATGTTATTCTGACATAAAAATAAGCATTGTTGCCCACATCTATTAATTAAGAGCTGTCATATGGCCACTCCCATCATGGCATGCCAATCATGCCTTAGATTCCTTCAATAGTTACTATAGCTCTGTGCCTAAATCCATATTCTACCTTTTGATATGGTGCATCTTAGTAATTGACTATCTTAGGAGTATTATATCTATTTTGTATCTAGTTTCTAGTATTTTCTAGAGATTTTCTATTGGTATATTATATATAGAATAGCTTAGGAAAAAAGAAATATATGAAATCTATATTTGGAATACAATATTTTTTTTTTTTTGCTCTTATGAGCTGTTGGTATCACCTTCTTCAATGATTTCTCCTCACATTTATCAGAGTTAGAGATTTTGAGAGACTAAGGATGAAGGAAGCTACATCAACCCTTGAATGCAATCAAGGTTAGGAGTCTTTGGGGAGATCATGGATGAAGGAAACTACATCAACCCTTCATGATCGGGGTTTGGATGCTTTGTAGGCAACCAAAGCGAGCGTCACAAGCGACCTCCATCCTCTGGCAACTATATCGACGATTCAACCTCCACCAGCCGACAACCATATCGGAGAATCCATCTTCACCGATGAAAACCATACCATCAGACAGCTTCCATCTCTGACTCAAGTGGCCGCCCTAGCTCCTCAAATCCTGACAAATCCACCAACTACAGAACTACAATAGTATCACCTTCTCTGTTCAACTACAAGACAAGCCCGAACTCCCCTCTCAACCTTTGATCTTCTCACTTCAGCACTCCTCTCCCTTTTTTATCTCTCCCACAATCCCAACAACAAATCTTCATTATTCTACTCCTCACACCTGCACTAGCTGGACTGACCTCACCTTCTCTACTAAAAATTTAATTAGAAACTAAAATTTAAACTTTATGAACTTACATAAGCCCTAGGTGATCTAGTATCAACCTAGGAGTTATTTTCTTATCATTGATTAGTGTAGGTATGCATATATAGAGTTTGCTCCTATTTGTTACATTAGCTAATAATATTAGAAAGAGGGTATGTATGCACATTAGTAAACATATACATATATATACGTGCGTTAATATTTACATGCATTATTAAAAAAAATTTCACTTACCTTTTACCATCTATGCTTTATAACCAAGATGGAGCCACTAATATAGAAGAAGGCTTCATGACATTATAGTTATAAACCCAAATTTTTTATTTTATTAAGTATTCTTAGTGAGATTTAACATCTCCTACTTAGTACATAATTCATATCATGCCTTTCCAATCCAATTAGGTGTTATCTCCACTTTGATAAACATATTTGGGCATATCCACAAACCCAAATAACCCATGCCTTCCAAAGTTCATAGGAATTATTAATGATGAATGCACAACCAATGAAAGATCATCTAAGGGATAAAAAGGATTGTTAAAAGTATAATTATTAATTAAATATAATTGAATGAAAGAAATTGAATTATTCATCTTGAAAACATTGAACCATGTATCATATATGGTAATGGGTATCTTCTTTAACTTAGTACATAATTCATATCATGTTTTTCCTAATGAGCATGTTTAAAGGGTACTAGGCTTAATGAAAACTTGAACTAATGAGAGTATGGTTGATAAGCCTTAGGCAAATTAATTTTGAATTGGATGGATTGGCACAATATTATCAGCTAGTAATAATCCATTTATCATTATCAAACTATGCTTTGATACTTAATCCAACTAGCTCTATGTTATCATGACACTCATATATATCAAACTTTTATAAAGCTAAGTAGTAATAAAAGCTTCCCTAGGATTAATCTATTATTACTTATCTTTCAAAAAGACTAACAATTTTAAAAGAATAAGTACCTCAAGCAAAGCTGTGTCTACAATAGATGTGGGAGACCTATGTCCGATAGTTATTTAGTTTCTTATATGTTTATAATTGTGCCCACATAATTTTCTCTCTAGCTGCATGACATGAATATTTAAGATAATAATGAACTCCATGCATGTTTCTTTCCATAGACTTCTTTACGATGAATGAGAACCCATTACATTTGAAAGAAGTTAAATGTAATATTTATATGACATAATGATTAACATGTTTTACTCATCATGAGATATGCCATATATATAATGTTAAAATTGACACATTCTTTATATTTCATGTTGAGAATGTTATATTGAATGTATACTATAAATGTGTATATGATTTCTATTGGGTTTATCTCATAATTATTATAATCCAGGTGATGGGCCAACAAAGGGCAATGCACACAAGTAGTATGGAACCATCCAATGTGGACAGCATGATAAGCATGGGCAATGGTTGGCCCAAGGCCAAGGAGTCAAGTTATTTTATACTTTTTTACTATAGTAAACCTTGCTTACATGGCCTTTTGTTGTTAATTGACTTGAGTTTTTTTTTTTAATTTAAAAAAAGAGTTTTATTAAATTGTAATATTGTATTCTAACAAAAGAATTTATGATTTTTGTGTGTTCAACTATTGCAAAAAGAATTTTTGCTCAGAATTCAATGAAATTTGAATTTTTATATCAATTAAAAAACTTTTAGGAATTTTTTCAAACTAAGGATTTTAAGTTTTCTAAATTTTCAAAATCCTTTCAAAATAAAAATTTAATGTTTTAAAATCAAATTTAAAGATGTCAAAAGTTTAAAATTAACAAATTAATTTTAGAAGCATGTTTATAGTCAAAGTCTCTATTGGCAATTGGATTGAATTCGTCTTTTTAATTCGCTTAAATTACATAATTAAGCTATATGTGTCTTTTAAACTAAGAAAATTGCTTAGCTTTCTTTAGGCTCATTCTATTATAAAAAAAGAAGCATTTCTAATCTATGTTTTTGGTACTAGAAGTGATCATATATTTATTCTTTCTTGCTAAACATAGATAATTAGACCCCATGATGATGATGATATGCCTTTTTGGTGGAATTAGTTAATGAAAATGGTTAGAAATATTTATTTTATTATTTAAAGAAGTTATTTGATTTTTTTGGTTAAAAATGAAGGGTTTGTAGGGGTATGGTCAAAGAAATACTAAGACTAGTCCTATTTGGGCTAGTTTGAGTTGATTTATACGTCCGCTTTAGGGAATGAGTTTTGAGTTGGGTAAATGGTTGAAAAAGACGGTGGAGGGTTAGACTAAGCTGTGAACTTATGATGTAGAGTAGATGGTCGGGCTTAATAAGGTTAAATACCTTATAAGGATATGGAGAACAAGACTACATGCAAGAGTGCTTGAACTAGGTTAAGTGCTTTGAAGAGGATTTGATTGACCTTTTTTAAGAGTTTATTTGTTGATGGATGGTTGTAAAAGATGGATAGAGTGTAGGAGAGGATGTTAAAAATATGTAGAAGATAATTTAAGAAGAACAACAATAAAAATATAATATAACTAACTAATCCTATCAAGGTAGACCATCAAGCACTAACCAAAAGAGAATAACTTCCTCCAAATTCTTATTATCATTCAAAATCTAAATTTTTTTATTATATACTAGTACTATTTTAAAGTTATAATGACTAAAAAAATTGAAAAATAAGAGATAAATTTAAGACCGTAATTATAATTTCTTTTTGGTTACTGTTTTCTCGTTGCTTACAAGAAATTTCTATACTAAGAAGCTGTTTTTTACAACAAAAACATTACTTTCCTCACAATAACTTTACAATAATTTCTACAAAAAGTTGTAGTCGTCCTAAACTAACTCTAAGGCTTCGTTTGGGACGGCTTTCTTACTGCTGCTTAAAACAGATTTCTAGTAGAAAATTTAAAATTTTTGTACTAAAAAGCTGTTTTAAAAAACATTAAGAAGATCGTCCCAAATAAATCTTAAATTAAATGAATTCGTCAAATCTATCATTTTGATTTATTTTATGAAATTATATAAAAGTTTCTTTCTAATCCATTAAATTTTCCAATAAAAATTATAATGGCAATGCCATTATCTTCACAGCCAATAAATTTATGTATCATAATTTATGAAGGCAATGTGACTTTGTCTCAAGTTGGCAATGATTGAGATGCCTTATATTATACCTCATATGGATTAATTTAGGTCTCTTGATAACTACTGCCAACTCTTTTGGTAATGCAAGGGCATCCGAAGATTTAACTACCATCCAATCAGCTGGGCACTAAGAACACCGAATAGCTAATTTCCCGAGTAGCATTCTTCCATACGCCCACCTCAACCGAATCTCCCTCCTCTGATTCAGGCATATTTCATTTTCCTGTTAGGAGATCATCCAGCGATGATCACGTGATTAGATGGATGAGCTGCCGACACAAAGTACGAGTCCCGTGTAAGCTGAAACCTTCTGTGAGGGTAGAGAGAACTGAAACACAGTTACGCCGGCACATTCTACCGCCGGCTAAATTTGTAGGTGAATTTTGTTTGTGACGATTTTTTTTTTATTTTTTAAAATAATTTTTTAATATAAAAATTTTAATTTTAATTTATATTAAAATTTTAATTTAAGAAGCAGTAAGAAAGTCATAAAAATAAAATCTTAAATATATTTGTATTAGATAATTTATAGTGATAAAATATGTATTATATGTCCTAATTTTACATAAAAATTTTATCAGATCATGTGATCATAAGTAATTTCATATTTCAACCAATTAAGCACATAAGTAATTGCATTGTAGTAAGTAAAATGTAAATAAACTCATTTCAGAATTTCATTAAATATTACAAGGTTAGGCAAATAAATGTATTATTGAGTAGAAATGAGTTGTTTTAGAACATAACCAAATTATCAGAAATTGTGTAGAAGGCTGTTTTAAGGCTTTAATTGTACTACAATATTATTTTTTAGAGTGAGCGCTATTTTTTAATAAAAAATAGCAGAAATCTCAAAATTCTCGAAGTAAAATTTTTAGGAAAAAAAAAAAACTTAAATGTGTAGAATCTCAATCTCTATAATATACAGAAAGTTGCATAGAGTTTTTCAAAGGTTAAATTATCCTAATTTTTCAACTAAGAAATATAAATTAAATAAAAAAATTCTAGAAATCTTCATATTTTTTAAAAATGAGATAGGCAAAATGTTACATATCTCGACCTGAGCAATGCTTAGAACTAAGTCGTCAACTAAAAATAATCTAAAACAACCCAAAATTAGCTTTCTCTCTCTAGAAATCTCTCATATTCTCTCATTAGTTGGTAGCCCTTATTAGAAATGAATTGAGTGAAATATAAAAAAATAATATTTTTAATATAAAAATTCAACATGGTGTCGTGGGCCCATGGCGCACTGCGACACCCGCTATGTTCTCCCTTAAAAAACCCACAGCACTGCAACTCCATCATAGCATCGCCACACTGATTTATTTTCCAAAATTCTCTAGTGCATGCATGGGCATTGGAGCTCGCCAACCCCAACGCCACGGCACCTATGGAAAAAATTTAGACTTTTCCAAACATAAAAACTCTCAAAAATCTACTCTAAAATACATGCAGACTCTCACATGCACACATAACATTCTCAAGGACATGCAAAAGGGTTCAAATATAAAAATTTAACGGATTATCTTGAATCTAATTGGGTCAGAATAGGTTGTATAGTGCATTGACTTTCTTGGTGTTATACTTAGGATATAATATATTATATAAATCATTAAAAGCTAAAGTTTTTTATGTCACATATTGCTTTCTTAAACTCCTTATGAGCCCCTCTATATATTTCTCAATTTTTGAGTTTTTATAGATAAACTATTTTTTTTTAGCAAAGCTTCTTAGTTTTTATCTTTTCTCGTATATTTTGATTCTATAACTAGCTAACTCTTTTTTATTATTATGAGATTTTCTTTTTGATACTCAAGGCACATACTTTGCAACATTCTTAATTTACTAACCATTTTTTTCTGCATAATATTATATTCCTCATGCACAATCAAAATCTTAAGATATTGAATTTTACTCTAAAAAATATTTTTGCAAGCATTCTTTAAATGCTCTCGTCTAATTCTACAACAATATTTTACTTTATTTTCAATATTTTGCTTCTTCATCTTAAAATTTTAAACTAATAAGCAATGTTAGGTATATCAACTTTCACTCGAAATTATTATAATATTTGCAATTTAAACGATCTATTTTTTTATAATAAAATAATTAATTTAAATTTTACTATATCCATTCTTATAAGTGATGAGATATTTATTTATTTTCTTAAATATGATATTCCTTAATTGCAAAATCATAAACTAGAGAAAAATTTAATATGATAATACCAACTTTATTAGTCGTTCGAAATCTATAACAATCATAAATTCTTTTAAAATCTTCTATCACCTTACTATCATGTACTTTTAAATATATTATAATAAATTTTTTTTCTTCAATAAATATCTTTTGTATTAATTATTCTAAGTCATTTTAAAATTTTAATTTTGAACATACATCTAAACAATTATAATGACCCTAAGCACTTATAATATTAATAATTTTAGCATTTACAATACTTTTTAAAGCTTTAATTAATTCTATCTCGAATTCTATTGATTTCTACAATATTATCCTTCAAACTCTTATCTATAATTGTACATATCATTTCTTGTACTACTCCTACTTGAACATTTAAATCATAAACTGTCAATCTTCTTGGCCTTATCTCCAACCCATTTAATTTTTCGAATGCATAGAATACCTATCTTCATATGAATCATAGAATTATATATCTAATACTTAAATTTTAATATTTATTTATATAACATCTAAATTTTTAAATCACATAAAATATCATTAATATTATATTTTATTTATAGGATGCTAAAATTTTGTATAAATAAATATTAAATATAAAATTTGTGTGGTATGAATGTAAATCCGCCTTTTCTAAGTTGAGGCATCTCATCATATATTCATATCTTGTCTTCCATCATGTGAGCCCTCTCTCTCTTTCTTTTTCTCCTTTCCTTATCAGAACAACCTGTGAAGAAAGAAAAACAGAACTCAGCTTCTCGAGAAAACCATGGCTTACATCTGCAAAAGCCTTCTTCTATTCTCTTTCTCCTGTATCCTTAAGCTTGTCCAGTTCCATGGCGCCGATGCCTACGAGAATTACACTGTGGGAGACTCCTTGGGATGGTATGATAACCTCATGGTGCCCAAAGTGAACTACCAGAAGTGGGCTGCAGGAAAGAACTTCAGCCTTGGCGATTTCCTCAGTAAGTAACACGCTCATAACTATATGTTATTTCATATCAGTTTCCTTCTTCAGAAAGGCCACGATTTGCATGCCCTTCATCTTTTTTCCTTAATTTTCTTGCTATAATTAGAAAATTTTGCATGAATTGACTGTCATAACTCTATGTCCGGCCATGGCTGCAAATTATGATGGAGAGAGAAAGAGACCGGATAAGATGACTTCCCACATATTATTTTTGGGCCATAAGAAGATAAAACTGTAAAATATGTGATAAATATCACTTTATAATAAAAATAGCGAAAATGAACACCAAGATTTAACATAAAAAAATTTGAAATCAGAAAAAAAAAATTCAAAGTCACACTAAAGCAAGAAATTTATTATGAAAATTAGGAAAAATTATAAAAATCTCTATTTCTCTGTCTCTCTCACTCTTATTATTTCATTTCAATTCTTCACACCATTCTACCTTAGGATTAACAAAGAAATACAACGTTATAACATGAAAGGACGCAACCTTCCAAGTTAAACATGAAAACGAGAAAGAAAACTACCTAGCCCTACTCACAATGCCACGACGTCGAAGTTAGCTGCGGTGTCCCAAGGCTATACAAAAAAAAAAAAAAAGATTTCAGGGGCAAGACCCAAAAACCCCAAGTAGGGGAAGCTAGCTCCCTAGGCTAGCTCAACGACGAAATTGACATCGGAGTCAACAATACAATCAAATTGATCGATAGAATCAGATTCCACATAGAACTAATAAGTGATTAAGATAATCATTTTTTTTAATTTAAAGGTCAAAAGAACAAAGTGAAAGGCGATTCATAAGGAAGAACTTCACGAACAAGTTTTAAATTTTCCTTTCTTTAAGTGAATTAGAAACTGCAGTCATTAAAAGTGAAGATGGGTAGTGTTACTTACACTATTGAATATTGATAGTTTCCCGTCAATAGAAGAAAGCATATAATGATTAAAATTTAAACGTTTGTAATTCAGTTACAACTAATTTCCTTACTCCATTATTAATTACAGCTCTACTTGTTGTATATAATAATAAATTAATAATGCTGCTGCAGTTGTAGGTGTGAGCTTAACTGTTGACAGCGATCGTTCACATGGAGATCACATGTAATCATGTATTAAAAATAGACAAAAGCTATAGAATAAAGTGGGCCACAAGCAATATAATTTTAATTATGATTAATCTTATAAATGATTAAACATGTAAACAAATTTATGTTCTATAAAATTTATGATCATAGAGTGTTTTATATAAGACTTTGTACCAAGATCTAGCACTATCAAGTTTTCTAACTGTAATAACCTGTTTTGTTTGAACCGGACCAGTTCAACCCAACTATTTCTAGCCGGTTCTCTACATTCCTTGCCTTGCGCTAGCTATTATGCAATCCTAATCGAGGCTTTTAAAATCAAGTGAGGATCGCCGTGATAGAGAGGAAGAGCTGCGGCGAGAAAGAGAACGGAGAGAAGTCGTGACCCAACGTGTGAGAGAGAAATCAAAGAGGTGATGATCGATGTCGGCCTCCCATGGCACCCGACATTCCAACAATATAGAGAAATGATCGTGTTGGCCGCCTTCATCGTTCAATTGCTTTGCATTCATGTCTTTGACGATGTCAATGAAGAAGAAGTCAATAGAGTCATATATAAAGGTGTGCAATTATTCGCCCTTTATTAGCTAATTTAAAAAATATTTAATTTTAATTAGCTAATTTAATAATTAGTTAAATTTGTTAATTACTTCATTTACATAATTAGTTGATTTACATAATTACTTAATTAGTTCATTTACATATTAGTTAATTACCTTTTTTTTTTTTTTGAAAAAGGCTGGTTAAATTAATTATATTTATTAAATTTTAAGTTTTATGTGGGATAATTTTTTTATTAGAGACAGCAAGTAGTACCAGAAGCCTTAATTAGAGCACAGTTATTACTGTCTCAATATATTTCGTGTCAAGCAGTATTCAACACGGACAAGAACCATTCAGTGATCCAAACCTACAACCAGACCACGTACAACCGCTGCGACAGCGACGACGCCGACGCCGATGACACCACTGAGTGGTCCGCCGGCGAGCCCACCTTCGACGCCGTCGAAGTCACGGTGCCAGTCCCACTGCTCAGGGTGGGCTCCAACTTCTTCTTCTCCGGTAACTATGACGGCGAGCAGTGCCGCCACGGTCAGCACTTCGTCGTCAACGTCACCCGTGGTGAAGGACTGCCGCCGAGCCTCAACACCTCGCCAGATTCGCTGGCTCCGGCCAGTCCCGAGGCCGGCGACGACGTTCCCGACACCGTCGTTCCGTCCAATTTCAACAATCCGACCGACAGTGACGCAAAGGCGACGCCCGCAGCTGGCGGCCAGAAAGGGACTGCTGGACCCTCGGTGATGGCCTTGGCTGCGCTTGTGGCGGTGATTGAAATAGTTTTGGGATAATGGGATGGGTGTGAGAGATATACAGGTAAATTAGTTTATTTATTGATTGGTTGGGGAATTTTTATTTGCGACTCTTATGATTGTCATGTGTTCCTATTTTTATACTGTAAGCTCGACTAAATTGTTTAAATTTTCTGCTGCCACAGAAGGAGATTATATTCGTAAACTTTAGCAGCAGAAATTCATCTTTTTCATCTGTACAGAAATCATTTTTCTTAAATAATGCGTATTCTTTCCGGGCAATTCGATTTTCTCGTTAAGAAAATCTTCTTCTTTTGTTAAAAAAACACCATTCATGAGAACAATATGGTGATCAGGATTGCAGAGATTATAAGGGGACAAATCAAGAAGAAACTGAAAAATTAGCTGGATGAAGACATGAAAGGGAATTTACAGCTAATGTTCTAGTGATTGTTTTTGGCAGGGGATTTTGTTGGATTTTTGTAGTACAAAGTTGTTATTGTTTGGAAGAAAAGAAGCTGGCTGCTCTCAGCTGCATGAACAAGACATTACTGTACATTATTGTGAAATAAAGATGAAAATGGCGACTAACGACTTCTAAGTTTAATATAAATTTCTTTATAGATACATATAATATAAGAATTTTAGACATAAATTATCTTATAGGAAAGCTTTGCCACTAAAATTCAAAATAAATCTTTTCAACTTGCTGCCATCATGAGTCTGCTCTGTCACATACATTCCTTTCTAACAATGCAAATTTGCTCCTACCCACAGATCCTCTATTTACGGAGAGATTATTCTGTGCGGATGCACAGCTCTACATTTGGAGGCGAATCAGGTGCAATCACGTCAGCGGTACAGAGCCGCGGTACCGAGCGAAGGGAAGACGTGATGCATTCTGATTGGACTCCGAATGTTGTTCGGCGTCCGCACAGAATATTTTTTTCTATTTACAAGGCTTTTAGCATGCCCAAATATTTAATAACACAAAGGAATCTTGAAGAGCATCATGAAATTACACATTTGAATGATTTGCATATGAAATTAAGCCTACATACGAACAAACAGAACAGAAGTGCTTCAAAAAAATTGCTCAAAAAGAGATCAAATAAGCTATCAGAAAAGCTTTTAAGATAACATAACAAGTCACTTACAGTTAATAGATTTATCACTAACCTTACTGAGAATCAAAGAAGTCGTGAAAAAAATCCCAAAATGCTAGCTGCAAGGAGCACTGCGAAGAGTATTAAGCTGAAACCAAAGGCTCGATGGAGCTTGATGCTTGAAAAGCCACCGGACGCATCCAAGGAGCACGATAAGCATTGATAACAGAAGAAGCTTGATTCCCTTCAATCTGACCCTCCAGTTCTTGATCATCCATTTCCTTGGCAATCTAAGGATCAAAGGAATGAATTGACGATAGGAAAACAAAGATCCTCATTTTCAAAAATTTAGGCTTATTTGGGATAGTTTTTTGTCACTATTTTTTACTGTTTTCAAAAAAATTTTGTATTTGAAAGCAACTCTAGAAAGCAATATGAAAACTATCTCAAATGAAGCCTTACTCCACCTCGAAAGAAATATGCTATTTAATATTTTATTATTTGTAACAATAATGACAAAAAATAGACAACAACAAAAAAATTAATAAATACTCAAATATATGTGGAAATCATAAACAGGAAAAAATCATGAAAAAAAAAGAAAAATTCATTATATAAAAAAAATTGGTAAAAGAGAACAGCACAAAACCTAATTACATGAATATAAATCTATTGTAATTAGAATGTATCAGATATGTCACACCGTAAGCTTTTTGACCCAAGCCCTATGGGATTTGAGTCACAAATTCCATAAATAAATTTTACAAGTACAAAGAAATTCTGAAAAGAAATTTAATCACATTATAAAGAGCAATAGTTATCAATATATATATTTTACAAGTGTAAAAGAAAATCTTCTCCTATGAAAAAAATGGTGAAACTTGCAAAAGTGAAAGTCATAAGCCTAGATTGATTCTTTATAGGAGCAAAACAAAATTCTACAGTTATATTGAACTGATTGAAGATAAGAGGATCTTCATATAAGGCACCATTGAAGCTCTACAAAATATAGCAATGACTGATGCATAAATGGAAGAAAAAAGTGAGGTACCCAAAAAAATTATGGAAGAAAAAAAAAAGTGCTTCGAATAGTTGAAAAAAAAAAAAACAACTACGGAGGTAAAAGGGTAGTAGTCTTGTGAAGGCAATAGTTAGAAAGCGAATGCTTCAATTTTTTATGATTTATGTAATATATGAATGTAAAAATAAAAAAAGGAAATACATAAACAGCTAAGGCTAAAGATCAGAAATTTAGTTTAATTTGATCAACTTCATTTAAAACAAATAAACACAATAGGATCTAAGGAAAAAAAAAAAACTATTTTAAGAATTTCTTGAATGAGAAGGTAAAAGGATATATTTAGAAAAGCATAGTGAAGAAGATCATGAAATATATTATTGATTGATCTAAACAAGCAAACTTGTATTAGCTTCAAAGAAAATGCATAAAGTTAAATATTAAGCCAATATATGATATCATTTTGGAAAACTATATGAGATATTGAAGTAATTTGACTAACAATTTTTTTCAATGGTATCTTAAAAAAGGTTGGAGTAGCTCTAGTGGAAGATAAGATTAGAGAGAATCATCTTAGATGGTTTGGTCACAAAAAATGGAAGCCTTCTGATGACCCAATTAGGTAAGTAGATGTATTAGATTTGATTTATGTTAAGAAAGATAGAGGTCAACCTAAAAAGATTTAATTAGAAAATATTAGAAATATTATTTTTAATTAGATTTAAATGAGAAATTAACTTTTAATATGGCAGAATGGTGAAAAAGATTCATGTAGCTGACTCCACATAATAATTAATTAATGAAACCTTTATTAGATAAATGAAACATAAATAAAGGGGGAGTGTAGAGAATAAGGGGCTAACATTTGATAGAAGGACCATGTATATATAAATTTAGTTAGGCATAAGATATAATTTTAGTGAACATTAATAGAGAAAATAACACCAAGATGTAATAAGGCAAGCATTTTGAATCAAATAAATAAAAACAATGGATATAGATAAGAATTTAACTTTTTGACACAAAGGTCGTGGGGTTAAAATGGGTTGTCTTGAGAGTAATATGAAATAGGAGAATACCTTGGTCTTACAAGTAAATTTTATAAAACTACAACTAGACTGATTAACTTATTCAAGTGTGGACCTGGTTGCAGCACTAAATAAGTTGCCAATAGTGCAATATGAATGTTAATTAAAAAACAACAACAACATTAAGTCTTTATCCCATGTGGGGTCGACTACATGAATATTTTTTCTCCATTGTGTCCTATTATGTGTCAAAGTCTCATTTAAATTTAATACAAAAATGTCATTTCTAATAATTTTTAATCAGGCCTATCTAGGTTTACCACTGCTTTTCTTAATATAGGCCAAATCTAATGCATTTACTCTCCTAACCGGGTTATCAAAAGATTAACATTTTATGTGACCAAACTATTTAAGACGACTCTTTCTAATCTTATCTGTCACTGTAGCTACTCCAACTTTTTCATGTATATATGATAGGAAACACTTGTAGATCTCAAGTATTTCCTATCAATCTTCGAAAAACAACAAGAATTTTCCACCAAAATCCACACAAAAATAGGAAAACAGTAGATAATTTGTATTATATGATGAAAAGGAAATAGAAAATAGCAAGATACAATCGATCCTCTATTCGAGAGAAGGATCGATCTCTCCCAAATCCCTAGACGCCGCTAGAGCCCAAAAGAAAACCTAAATCTATGATAACTCAAATTTCAGTCAAATTCAAAATGAAATCCTAACCCTTACAAGAGAAACAATTTAAAGTAAAGAAGATTACAAAATCACTAAGCAGCCTCTAATTCAAAATTTCCCTCCCAACAATATTTAATTGTGTTGTTCCCTCCCAATTAATTGAGTTGTTCCCTCCCAATGTAATATTTAATTGAGTCCCTTCCAAAGCAATATTTAATTGAGTTGTTTCCTCCCAAAGCAATATTTAATTGAATCCCCTCATTCAAATTGGATTGGTCTAACAATATTCTCCTCCCAAATATCCACCTTATTCTCAAGGTGGAAGGATGGGATGCTGTTAATACTTTCTTCAGCTGCTCTGTTAGTGGTCATGCTATCATCCACTGGAACCAAGGTAAAGTTTTTCCTTTAAAACATAGGGCCGCTGTCGTCACTCTCTCCTCCTCCGTCACCCCATTCACCATGAGATAGATCTCCACCCGGTACACCCACCCATAAGCATCCTCCCTTTCTAATACTGGTATCCCCAACTTCTTCACCCTAGGATCACTACCACCCCAATATCTTCTTCCTTCTCTAGTATAGAGGTTGTCATGATCTCTCCATATTTCCCCCATGTATCGAGGGTGGGAATCCCCCCTTCCTTCCCTTCGCCTCACTTGACTCGGTCCCCATGGTTTGGCCCGTCCCCCTCCTTCGATCGTCCACTCCCATTACCCAAAATGTGACGCCCCAGGCATCCATAGTGAAAGGATTCGTCTGACATTCTGATCGAACTCCATTCCAGTTGCCTTGCTCAGACCTGAAATTGTCAACCACATATAATGAGCTTAAATAGCCCAGCAGGTCACCAAAGCCTACAACTGAAATCAAAGCATGACACTGCTATCAATATGCATGTTAGTCAATCAAATCCATAACAGTCAATGGTCAATGAGTCTATGCAGGGGAAATCAAATCAGTAGTCAATGCAGTACGGAAATCAATAGTCAATGCAATCAATAGTCGATGAAATCAATAGTCGGTGCAGCGATAGAAGAACCGATAAATCAAACTCAATCAATCAGTACGTCAAATCTCAGAAGAATCCATCGATCAGTCAAATCAATCACATCGAATCAATCGATCAAATCAAATCAAATCTATGCTATCTAGTCAATAAAATCAATCGGAAAAGCAATACGATAAATCTCAATCTACCCTATCAATAAATCAAATGCAGCAAGTCAAAAAACT